GTCATCCCTCTGGAGGCATACATACAGGAAACAACAATCGAGAATCAGTTGCCAAGTTAAGCTAGCGCACATGAAGAAAAAGTGGGCGCGAGGCTAAGCAGCAGCGCTCAGAGTGACACTCGATTACTCAATAATCAATAAGACAATAACGCAACAGTTTGCTTGGACGCGATGAGCATTCGCATAGGCCTCCTATCGCCTACCACAAGCCCTCGCCGGTCGGAGCACCGAGAACGCTCGCGTTGCATGCAGCTGAGCGAACGCGCGTGCACTGGAACGGGTTCCCGTCCGTCTGTGATCTCCCCTCTCCCGCCTCAGGATGAGTTGAGGCGCGAACAGAGCAGGGAAGGAGGGAGGAAGAGGAGGGTGGCGGACCTGGGCGAAGGAGTACATGAGGCTGGTGCTGAGGGAGCGCGGCGCCGACCACGCGTGGATCACCACGGGCGACTCCGCCTCCGCCTCCGGGGCCATTCGCCCGCGGCCGCAGCGCCTCGCCGATCGAGTGGAGACTCGAGAGGGGGATTTGCGGGTGGTTGGTTCCTCCCGAGTCGAATTGACCCGCCCGAATGGAGTGGAGTGTGAATTGGGAAGGGAAGGCCGAAGGGGGAGTTCAGGAAGGCTATTAGTAGGACTGTAGGAGGGAGAGGCGGGGAGCACCAGCGATGGTGTGGCGCCCTGGTGGGTGAGGTGGCGTGCGCGCGGCGAGGAGCACGACGCGACTGCCAGGTCCCGAGCGCAAAAGAACGTACGGCGAGCGGCGTGGCCTGGTTCGTCTGAAATCCTACTGTTCATGCGGTTTCACTGTTCATACTAATTTTTTTTTAAAGAAAAACACTATCCCACAAGGCGGCTCGTTGCTCAGCCGAACCTACGTGCTTACCCCCTCGCTCTCTCTCTCTCTCTCAAAAGTGAAACTAACCGTGTGTGTATACTACTCCTACGTACATGTACTACATACACTAATCCTCCCGCTTATTGTTGACCTCGGCAGCATGAACGGATGAACCTACCCTAGCAGTGAACTTATTGGTGCACGTGTTTACACGATTAACACAAGGAAGCAAAACTCAGTCGTGATGGATGCGATCGGTTCTCACGCTCCTTTTTTTTTTGTATTACAAATGATGATGATTGATGAGTGATGACACGACGATCACCTGCATCTACTTCTTCTGTACTGGATAAGAATAACACTCGACTAGTTGCCTTTTTTTTTCTTTTCATTCTATCTCGGTGGCCTGTTAGTCGCTAGCTTTGCCGCCGGCTGACTTCCTTGCTAAACTAAACACCAATTGGCACACTGCCGCCTTCGTCGCCGCTACCCGCCACCGCCCGCCGATTGCTCCTCAGGGCCCAGGGGAATTTTTGTATTTAACATTTCTTATATATATATATATCATTTGCAGATTTAGCCATTTAAGGCGCTCGGAAGAGTTGGCTGCAGCAACGCTGCGGGCATATGCCGCTACAGCCTGCAGCCCAGCTCTCCTCTCATCTTTTCTCGTATTTCCTCTTATGTTTTCTCTTAGCTGCAGCTTGGCTCTCCTCTTATATTTTATATTTCCTCTATGGCTCTATGCAGCTGCAGCCTGCGATGCTGTGCAGCTTGCTCGTCCGAATGCAGCCATAATTTTAGCAAATATAGGATCACGTAATTGTCATCACATCCAAAGGAGTGAAGAACTCCTCCAACATATCAGTGTTCAGTGGAATGTAACCAAACAAAGATCAGATTCAGATAACTTCCAAAAACAGAGAAGAGATTGTCACTTTGGCGGTTTATGGTGCTGTTACAGAAGCTTTGCCACCATTCATGAGCGGCCACTGAATCTAGCTCAGTGGTAGCACCAAGGATGGATGGCGCTTAACATCCCCATCTGGTCTTTCCTTGTGTGGCTGCAGCTTGTTCAGTCTTCCTTGCAGCGTCTAGTCCTGCCTTCTTTGCTTTCAATACTTTGTACCACTGCTCCGCAGCGTCAGTCCACCCCACCTTTTGATCAGTATCAACCGTTCTTGAATACTCCACCTTTTGATCAGCGTCAACCCTTCTTGGATAGCCTTGTATCCTCCCTTCAGCATACATACGCCTGATTTCATCGAAGTACTCCTCCCAGTAAGAGTCATCCATCTCACGACGAGGACCATACATCTCTTTGTAGGTCCAGTCCGCGAGGTCGTTTGGGGCAAAACGGGCGCTGGCCTTGGACTGTCTTGATGCATTGGCCTTGTCACTTCTGATTGCGCACGCCTTAAATAGTTCATACCTCATAGCTTTCTCCTCCTCGTTCTTGTAGGTCCTCCCAAACTGTTTCATCCATTCCTCAAACCTCGCCTTCATCGCCGGTTCATCAACGACGCTCATCATGCCCTCCAGTTGCTCAGTCTGTTTCACATTCTCCGGCTTGGTAGTGGGGCCCTTAGGAAATCTTCTTCGAATCATCTCATCATAGTCAGTGACCTCAGGATGCCGCATTAGAAAGTTGATGTAGTCACGGTACTGAACCCAAGCAACCTTGCCGTCTTCATCCGTGAACTTTGCTTTGATAGCTGAATCATCAATGGGGGCCTCTTCATGCCAGTCGTCACGACGTTCGTGATCTCCTGCTCGCCGGTCACCTCCAGAGATGAAGACGACGACTAATCTCCGTTGGAGTAGAGAATCCCAATCAATGCAGCTATCCCACCCGCGGCGGCTAAGGCGCCGATAGCGCCGTTGACGACGTCAAGATCCGTCGGAGTGTGGAGAGACCGAAGTGACCTATGCAAAGCCAATCCTAGGGTTTCCGCCTGCGCCTGCGACTGCACCCGCGCGCGGGGGATCCTGCGTGGCGAGAACCGCCAGCCGAGGAGAGAACCGAGGGCCTGGAGGGACATGATCACGATCGCTCCTGTCGCCCCCGCCGCCGCCACCCAGCTCGCGTCGATTGAAGGGTTTCGCTACTGCGTTATGTTGCAGGTCACGATTGAAAGGTACGTTTCGCTACTCCGTCTCACCAGACCGCCTGTGGGGCACACCGCTGCCAGCCCAACTCACAAGAACCGAAGAACGCCTGCGGTCCAGCCGTTCAGGAGAGCCAGAGCCGAGACAGCCACACCGCCGCGCAGCCCACAAGCTAACCCTCTTAAAAAAACTTGATATCGCTCGGACGTCCGATCCGGGATGCTAGCGTCAGACGATGCTCCCGCGTACACATATAGATCTCTCGCCCTACACCAATCCCGCTCCAGAGGACGTGTCTATCGATCCGTATGGAACTCCCGCGTCTGGGCCCAACGCACGCAACTCGTTCGCCCATGCCCACGCATGCGCGGGGACTACTCCGAACACGCTCCGTTTCCCGTGTCCACATGCACGTAGCAACAACGCAAGCAGGCGGCGCACTAGCAGCAGCAGGCAATATGTGCCCTCCCGAGATCTACTTTTGAAACATCCAAATGAAACACTTGCAACATACGTCTAAAACAGATGAAACACTTGAAACATGTGTGTATAGCCATAGCAACATGTGCAAGATCAGATCTACTTTTGTAACATCCAAATGAAACATTTGTAACATACGTCTGAAATAGATAAAACATGTGTGTATAGCCATTGCAACATGTGCAACACCAATATTTACTTTTGAAACAGCCAGATGAAACATTTGCAACATACGTCAGAAACACCTGGAACACTTGAAACATAACCTTGCAACGTGCGTATTTTGTCATTGCAACGTATGCAACATTCCGGATCCACTTTTTGCAACATCCAGATAAAACACTTGAAACAAAGGTCTGAAACACTTGAAACACAGCGTTCGCCGCGCGGCCACGGCCTACCTGGTGGTGAACTGCGCTAGATCGGCGAGGAGGACAGGGAACAGATGGAGGCCACCCTGGCGAGGGTGCTGGAGTGGCAACGACGAGGCCCAACCGAGTAGGGAGCCGCCGCCTAGAGGGGCCCCGTGAGGAGGGGCGTCTCCCAGGCCACCCTGGATGTCGTGGGCAGCTTAGCACCCTCGCCACTACCGACAATATGTACCCCATCGGAGCCGTCTGGTCGGGCTGCGACGGGGTGGGAGGACAAACACGGTAGTGTGTGTGGGTGGGGGAGGAGAGCAGAAAGTGAGCCGGGATTTTTTTTTTAGTTTTTTTTTAGCAACGTTGGTCACCGTTCGGTCGGGTGTACCAAAAAAAAAAAACGAGCTGACAGGACAGATGCCAAGACAGGGAACAAACCCCCGGAACCGGAAGCAGACCTGAGACCTCTCACTTTGTTTTTTGAGTTCTTCAGTTCAACATCGAGAGGTAGCGTTAGCGTCTGGTGTGTTGGTGCTGTGCCTTCTGTTCTGCACCTTTTCTGAAAACGATCCTACTACGAATGATGATACTACTCATACTCATGGTACGTGTCAGTCCTTTTGACGCGTAAGATCAAATCCAACAATTCAACGGTACTCACTCCGTCACAGAATAAACACGTCGTGCTTCCCGAGTAGTTAATTTTTTTTAAATCTAACTAAAATTATACAAAAATATATTAATATTTATTATGTATAATAAGTATTATTAAATTGAGTATGTATATACTTTCATAATAAAATTATTTGTAGATACAAACAATGATATTTAATTGTATATTCTTAGTCAAACTTTAAAAAAATCGACTTCTCGAAAATGAAATTTGCATTTGTTTTGGGACGGAGGAAATATTTTTCTTGGGATTGTTCGGTTGGCTGTAAAGCCGTTGGTGCTGATTTGTATGGATGATTTTTTGAGAGAGAAAATACTGTACCATGACTTATAAGCCAACGAATAAGTTGGCTGATAAGACCAGCCGAACACTCCCTTATTCCTACAGATGGCCTGACCAGACTGTACAAATGCTTGCTACACATCTGTAGCACTAACATGCAGCAAAACGAGCATTTGAGTTCTGAATGACCCTTGAAGGTCGTGCATTACAATTACAACATGCATGATGAGCCGTGCAGAGGCAGCTTCTTGACAAAGCTGAATCAGAAAGTCTCGAAGTCCTTGAGGACCCAACGCCCATCTGCGCCCCTGACCATGCCCTTGTTGAGTGCCACCCGCCACTTGGCCGGCACGGGGTACTCGTCCCTGAGCGCGTCGGCGGCCTTGTTGACGAGCGCCACGTCGCGGTCCACCTCCAGCTTGAACCCTCCTCCGTCGGCGTCGGCGCCGCCGCCGCTGCCCTGCTCCCCGGCCACGCCGTGCAGGTAGCACTCGAGGTTGTGGAGCGTCTGCGGCGTGCCCGGCTGGCGCAGCCACGGGGAGCGCGCCGTGTGGATGGGCAGCGGCACGGCCACGTCCACGTACCCCAGCGGCGGGTACAGCGGCACCACGTCGCCCTGGTTCTTCACGTGCAGCGCCCTCAGGTCCCCGAACGAGGCGAAGGCGGCCTTGAAGAAGGGACCCCCCACGTGCGGGCTCGCTAACACGATGGCCGTCACCGGGGAGGAGGAGGAGCCGCCGCCACCGGCGGCGGGCGTGTTGAGGCCGTTGGAGACGATGTCCACGGCGTTGAGGGTGGCGAGCGACGCGCCGAGGCTGTGCCCGGTGACGGTGATGCTCGTCTCCTCGTGCTTGTACAGCTCCATCAGCCTCCTGATCTCCTCAAGAACCTGCACGCATGTTACATACTTTGATCGTTCAATAGGAGGACTACCTTTAGGCAGCTATCAATCGGCCAATTAATCTGGGATAAACCAAATAATCAATTGCTTCAGACAAGGAAAATGACATGTAGCTTTCGAGTTTCGTGCATCCGATAGCTAATCCGGGTGTCCCTCTCGTGGGTTGATGGCTGAAACATCAGAGGCTGAAATGCTTGAAGGAATAATCAACGAGATACTCTAGCTGAGATCATCGAGATGCCATGGTGTCTTCCCGCAGAATACATTGGGAGCATATATAGTTATCGGCCAATCCGTAGCAGTAGCTGAGGCACTGATTTCTATTACAATCATTAATCGTCAGAAAACAACCATGATCGAACCTACAATTGGTCCACCAGCAGTGACAGGGAAATAGCGAAGGTAATGCCTCAGTCACGCCAAACTTATTAGTATTGCAAGTCAATATTAGATAGAAGAAGTCACGTCAGTTTTAGTCAGTAACCACCATGTGGAGACCCGGTACAAGTGTTGCAGACTTGCAGTGTCGTTTGAATGTGGAAAGGATAAAAGAGTTGAAAACCATGAGCACCAAAATCAGAATGACGTGTGTGAGTTCATGTTCATGCATCCTATTCCTACGTTAGTTTAGACTAGTGATGTACCACGGATCGAACAACAACACAATCTCTCTGCAAATTATGTGCAGTAATGCAGTGTTAAGAATCAATAAATTTTTTCATAGAACTAAGCTCAGTATAGTAAGATTGAATGAAATTCTCCAAATGAAACTATTAAAGTGATATTGATACCAATCCACATGCCTGGTCTCTGGTGCTGAGCTTGTTGTACTTGGAGCTGGCGTTGCTGGACGTGTAGAGCGACAGGAACCCCCTGTGCACCATGGCGCGCGGGTGCGCGTCCGCCGCGGCGCCCAGCACGGGCGCGGCGGGCACCGGCGTGAAGTCGAGGTCGTTGACCCACTCCAGGCTCCGCACCGTCCCGCGCCACGCCACCACGACGTCGCGCCGCCCCAGCGCGGCCGCGCCCTCGTCCGTGGCCACCGCCACGTACCCCATCCAGTTGGACTCCCTGCACCACGGCTCCTGCCCCTGCAGCCCCGGCTGCGGCAGGAGCAGGAACGCGTCGGGCACCTGCAGCCCCGACGTGGCGTACACGAACTTGGTCACCCTGTACCAGTTGCTGCCGCCGGCGCTGGCGGCCAGCAGGTCCGCGAGGCCGTACACGCACGCCCCCGCGTGCGGCGACCGCGCCTCCGTGTTGAACCCGTCGTAGGTGCCAGGTGGCCTGCGCGAGCTCGCCGTAGGAGATGACGGACGAGCGGAGGTCGATGTCGAGAGGGTCCAGGAGGCCTTTCCATGAGTCCTTGCCATGGAGCTCGCGCCACCTGCTGGCTATGCTTCCAGGCATCATCGCCGATGGAAGCCGGTTAGCGAGCGACGACTCGTCTTGGCTACAATATAGTATTGTAGCTCACAAGCGCTTGGTTCAGGAACTCAGGTTTCTTTGCTTTTGCTTGGTGCCTTAGTGTGTATTTGTATCACAGAATCACTACACGCAGATCGCTTCAATGTGGTTTTACTCGGTCACCTACTCCTAGCACACTTATCTTTCAGTGATATGCCATTTTTTATTTGCGAGGTTTTCATTAACGTGTCTATGTACACTCGTCGACTAAGTATGCCCAAGTATGTAATAGGAAACTGGTCGGCAACTACATTTGCGGGTTTATAGAAATACTCCTGCTTTCAAAATTATTTTATTTCATGACGTGTATACATATCTTAAAATTGAAAGCTTGTAACTTCTGACCAGTATGCAGGCCAATAACATATATTAGCTTATTGATGATTGATGTAGATAGAACCGATAAAATTATACTCAATGCGTATTTCTACGGTTATGATAGATCAGTATGTATAGACTATAATAGTCGTATTGCTCACCAGCAGGATGGTAGCTGTAACCGTTTCCAACAACTAGAATCAGAACGGGCACAGAAAGCATCCATGTTAATCAGCCCGGCCTGTGGCCCGGTCCGTAAGGGCATGTTTGTTTCCGCGGCTGCGGCGCGTTTGAGCGGCAAACGCGAAAACAGCCCGCCAAACGCTCCGCGTCTGACGCGCGTTGGCCGGCCAACCGCGACACGAAACGCGAAAAAAAGTTGAAGTGGACAGTGGGAAATCTCGAACGCGGCCCCGGAGCTGCGTTCGCTCAAACGCGGCCGCGCGTTACCCACTCCCGGAAACAAACGGGCCCTAAGAATGCACCACGGCGACTGTATGGGCTGGGCTGATCGCTCCAACTAGTGTTGGGCCCTTACCGACACGTGCGCGAGAGAGGAAGGCCCATCCGCGTGTTTCTTCTTCCCCGTGTTCAAAGCGGAGTTTCAAACGTAACGTAACAGAGAAGAACCACGACGCCCGCCGCGGATTAGTGTTCCTCTCGAGTCCCGACCACGGCTACCGCCTCGGCGCCTCCGATTATTTGTCCACCGGGCAGTCCGGCACTGACCCACCCAGGATCGCAGCTCTCGTGAAGTTCGAAAATCACATCCACGTTTCGAATAGGGTTTTTGCTTGCTCCGAGAGAGAACAGAACGGATCGAAGCGCTCCGCAATGTACGGCCAGCACCGCGACGGCAATGGCGGCGGTGGCCGCGGAGGTGGCGGCAGCGGTGCCGGCTTCCTGTGGGGCGGCCTCGCGTGCTGCTGCGCCGGCGCGGGGTGCTACCTAGCGGGGAGGAGCTATGCTCGGTACGTACTACGGCCTCCTGCTTGCACGCACGCTTTTTTGCCCTCTCCTTTCCTGTCGATTACACAGCTACTCCTGCCGTCCTGCGTCGTGGTGGTGGGTTTCCTTGTGCTGAAAGCATGGTTGCTTGCTTCGTGCCTGCAGGAGCGCCAACGAGCTGCGATCGGCGCGCAGGTTCTCCCGCATCTCTGATTTGTGTGAGTATCCGTTTGCCGAATTGCCGATGGTTGTTTATTTTGCTAGTGACTAGTGAGTTTGCTTGGTGATCAGATAAGATAGCGGCTAATTTCCTACTCATATGCATTAGAGGTTTTTTATGTTTTAAATATAATTGCCAGCGGTGGTGACAGAACTGCTAAATCATATAACCCTTGTTGATTGACCATCAAACCAATTAGTTAGACAGGTAGGGAACGATAATTTCAGGTGCCACCTGCTATATATAACCTAACCAGGAGCTTGGTTTTTGTAATTCGTTAGTTTGATCCTAAAGAGTGCGATGTCCCACTTCTGACACCAATACTGTATTGGTAGTATCTTTTAAGCAAGAGTCTTGTTGGCATGTTAGAAGACAGATTCAGTGGTCTGATAGATTATCTGAGCAGCATCAGCGCTCTGACTTTATACTGTGTGTCTTTGACAGCTATGACGCTGGCCGCCTCATCCGCATACCTTCCTCTTGTAACTCTCTCTGGAAAAGTTGGATCAGACACATCAATCATAGGTGAACAGAGTGGTCAGGAGGCTGCAATTGTAGTAAATGATGTATCTACTGATATCACAAAAAGCCTATGTTAGTTGAAGATGTGTTCACCTTCTTGTGCTTTCAGTTACGTGTCTCAGTGTCTGCCATTTTTGTAGGTAACTCAGATCTTCTTGAAGAAGGAGAAGAACAGGAAGGATGTCAAGGAATACATAGTGGTGAAGAAGACAAAGGAGAAAGATGGCACTGAACACTTATTCCTCAAGAATAAGGAAAATGATGATCCCGAACAATGGATACGATGTTCTGAGGAGATATTTTCGAAAAAAAAAAGAGATTCCTTGGTATCTGGTAATTTGCTGCAACTAGCTCTAGCTTGATAGCGATGTTGATGCATATAATTTCAGGCGGCCTTCCTTTAAATGCCTTATTGCACTTCTGTCATTCTATACTTACTCAATGAAAATTTTGTTTTTTTTTTTGCCTACGAAGAAAAAAACCTGTTACATTTAGCGATTTGTGTAGGCATAGATTTATGCTTGTGGATTATATTCACCCATAAATAATTTATGGCATTTTGTATACCATTTTTCTGTTTCCACACTCCACTGTCTACTGTCTAATCTTATCTTCTTTTGAGCATCTAATTAGGTGCTACAGTATCTATCATGTGAGTCCGGCTTTAAATTTCCTGTTCAAATATTCTCTGATATCTTGCTTTTACTAGGATGATGGTACTGGCCGGTTGGAGATTGTCAGGGATCGTAGCACAGATGGTTCTCTTTTGTGCCTTGCAAGTGAGGATTTTGAGAAACAACCTCGTTCATGTGGATGTGAATGCTCAATCAAGGTTAGCTAACATAACTTAGGGCCTCTTTGACACGGCTTATGCCGGCTTCGGCTTTATCTATTTTGCACAAATCGAGGCACTGTAGCGTGAAGCCGTTTTGTAAGCCGGGGTTAAAATGAACTAGAAGCCGGGAAAAGCCAGTTTTTCTGGCTTCACCGGTTTTGTCTTCACCGGTGAAGCCGTTTTGGATGAGCCGTGCCAAAGGGGGCTTTAAACTTTATGTTCTGCTACCAACTGGAAGGTTGTTTGTAATATATTTTTCTGCAGCTACTTGGACTAAGGCGAACTGAATGGATTCTTCCAATCGGTGATAAGTTAACTGTTGTTGGCGAGGTAATACTCATAAGTTCACTTAGGTAGAAATGTGTTGGTAGACCTGCGGGAGTCTTCTGTTTTGACATATTTATTTATAGTCTATATTTTGGTATTTTTCATGTAATTGGAACAGGCTGTCAAAGATGAGTCTGGTAAAATTCTGATTAAACGTCCAACAAATGGTGGACCGTTTCATGTTACAAGAAATAGCATTGATAAAGTTGTTTCAAATCTTGGGAGTGACGCGAGGTACCAAGACGCTTCAGAATATTTTGGTCCCTTTTTTTAGAACAACATTTTGGTCCCTTTGTTTCTGAAATAGTGTTGCGTGCTCTAAGCCACTTGTTTCTCAACAGGTGGTGCAAGATTTGGGCTGCGACATTTGCAGCTTCTGGCGCACTGCTTCTTGGAATTGGAGGCTATGCCACCATGTGCTGAGAAAAGGTAATACCTCTGGCTGGGTTTAGTTGACAATTTTGGGCAACCAAATTGACCTTCAGTTAGTTCTATCATATCAAGCTGTCAGGCACTAAGTAGTACAATATGTTCTTTCACTCTAGGCCATCTGATTTTTAACATGAACACCAGTTATACCGCAATGTGCTGTATCCATAACACTTGGTAAATGGTAACGAAGTATACAAATTGTTGTGAGAACGTCGCCTCTAAACCTGTTGGCGGCACGAGGAGTTCTGTTCTGGAAGTTGGCAGCGCTAACTTTTTTTTTCTGAAAGTTTTGCTGCCACGCAATTTGTTTAGTAAATTAGCTTTTACATGATGTAAGAGCAGATTTTTTTTTTCTGGGGAATGTGATGCCGCTTCTCGTCGGTTCATAGAAGCCCACTTTAGTTTGTGCGCGGAGCATCAGTTGAAAAGAACGGACATAAACTGCACCGCACAGATCCATCTGTTTCACGTCACCAGTAAGCTACCGCCTTTTGTTTTGCCTATAAAAGTCGCAGTTCATTCTGCGCTTTGGCGCGCGCTCCAAGTTTGTGCGTGATGCAGGCAGACAAGGAGCCTGCAGCTGCAGCTGCCGCGGCCCCCGCCGCCGGCAAGCCGCCGAGCATCTGCGACAGGCTCCAGAGGGCCTTCCACGCCCGTCCAGCGTTCCGGCCCCTCCGCCGCCTCACCGTCCGCCACCAGGACGGCGGAGCTGCCAAGCCTGCCGGTGCCGGTGATGGAGCCAGCGCTGCGCCTGCGCCTGCCCCTAAGCACAGCGCCCCGCCATTGCCGGCCGCGCCGCGGCCACTAACGCCGTCGCCGGCTCCGGTTGGCGGCGGCGCTACCCCGGCCCCGGCACCACAGGCTGAGCAGACGGTTCCCGTGCGCTTACCAGCCGTCACCACTAAGGTGGCGGCGGGCAGCGCGCCAACAGGGCCGCCGGTGCCTGTGCCACCGCCGGACGTTATGGCGGGGAATGGCGACAGCGGCGGATGACATAGGCCAGCAGACCAAAGGGAAGACCAGGGTGGGCTCCAGGGTCCGGAAGGCGCTCTCGTCCAAGTATAATACTGTAATAGAGAGGTGAACAGAGTGGGAATTAGCAAGAAGTTAATGATCCTGCATGGTCGCGTGTATGCAGCAGCGTTCCTTCCATTTGATGATGGATGTGGTTTAATTAGTCTCTGTGAGACCCTTCTGTGAGCGTGAGAACGTTTATCGTGGCAAAGCTCATGGAATAAGAACAAAAAGCCCGTCATATGCCTAGGCCCGAACCCGTTGTTGCCATCCGCGAAGAAGACCACACT